GTGAAAAGGCAAAATAATTGAAACTTGATTAACTTTTAGGTAGAAAAAACCGTCGCTCATGAAAGGGTAAATATGAGGGTCGGACAGGACTTACCTGCATATGAAAGTGCATAAGGGACTTGAAACAGACGTCGCTAAAGCACATGTCTTAAACCGGATTAGGCCGTCAACGTCCAAGTGGCGAGACGGGAGGAGGACAGACGCCACCGGTCATAGTCCACTTACAGTCGAGACGATCAGGGGACATTAAAGGCTGAGGCTGTCATCAAAACGTAGAGGGGAGATGCGACCATGAGACCTCTTTGGCGACCGACTAAACTACAAGCAGGTAGCGAAGACAGAGGATTCCGACGTGATTTAGGACAGAATGCTTGGGATTGAAATGAGGAGATGGCATCAAAAAACAGCGAAAGTAATCGCTGCAGCGGAGGAGTGATAACAGTGGATTTAGTAACCAAATAAAAACAAGGGATCGTACAGTTATTAGTGATAGTTTACAATTGAAAAAGTAAGACATGTGTGACCTACCATGAAATCCCAACAGGACCCTTCTCAAAGTCAAGAAACTGAGCGTTCGGGAATGAAACGGTCAACAGCGACTTTATGCTTTCCGGTGTACGGTACTTGCGTAATTTCGACTTAATTGCAGACAACGTAAGCGATGCCCTTATTTTGGCTAGCGATTATTCCAAAGAAGGGCATATTTGGAAGAAAAAAGAAGGAGCGCATGGACGTAGTGCAAATAGACTTCGGAATCACCATGGAGGAATTACGCGTAACATAAGACCGGTCTTTTGGAGTGAGAGTGTCAATGCGCGGAAGATTGGAGCTAGAGTTAATGCGAAAAAGGAAGCAAAGACCAGCTTTAAGTCTTCTAACCCACAAAAACTTAATGTTCGCCAGCTGACATCATTTAATATATGAAGTACCGGGTGCGACTTGAGAGAACAGTTTCCGGGTGAAAAGCCTCTAAACATTTTCCATTTGATTACGGTCACAGACGTTCATTAAACCAAAGAAAGGATAGCAGTACCCCAGGACAGGAAGAACAAACATTTGATAAAGTCTTAGCTTTATTTCTGAAAGAAATAATTATGTGATATGAACCCATATATTTGGGTGGCTTTGGCGGAGATTCGATCGGCATGAGTCGATAAAGTAAGCTTACCTGGATAACTTAAATCTAGGTCCTTTATAGTGAAGCATTGTGAGAGTTGGTTATTCTGAAAAATTATGGGACCTGGAAGCATGACTTGACCAAAAAATATGAAACTACACGAAGGTGATGAAAACTCCATTTGCCATGTTGATTTCATTTCCATGAGCGTAGTATATCAGTATCCATTTTTTCAGCACAAACATTTGTGGTGTCTTTGGAATATGAGTAAACACACTTGAGGTCCTTGGTATAAAAAAACTTTTGCGAATTTCTGATTTCACTCGAAATATTATTTATATTATTATTATATCGTTAATGTAAAGAAGGAAGATTAACAGACCATGAAGCGTGCCTCGAAACACGCCACTCGTAATTAAGTAAAGGTATCGATTAGCTATTATCACCCACGACCGAAGCGGACGTGCAACGGAGCTTGGACCTCCTCGTCGCCGGGTGCGCCAACTTCGGCCGGACTATCGACAGGGACAAAACGGTGGTCATGCCCTAATCTTCACTCTACATGCAACACTGCAGTCCTTCTCGAATCACTCTCGACGGCAACTAAATCAAACGCGTGGATAATTTTGCTTACCTCGAAAGCACACTTTCCAGCAGCACCAGAATCGAAGGCAAAGTGGCCATCCGGGCCTCTAACGCCAGCCAAGACTTCGGCCAACCTCAGAACTCCGCGTGGAATCGTCACGGCCTCCAACTGAAAATCAAAATGAAGATGTACTAGGCCATCACCCTGATGACACTTCTCTCCGAGGCGGAGACCTCGACCGTCTATTCCAACCTTGTGAAGAAACTCAACCACTACCATCTCAGCCGCCTTCGCGGAATACTCAAGCTGAGATGGCAAGGCAGGATCCCCGACACGGAATTCCTCGAACGAATCGGCATCCTCAGCAGTCCCGCCATACTGAGAAATCTAAAGTTACGTTAAAACGGCCATTTCATGAGGATGGAAGACACATGTTTGCCGAAACAACTATTCTTTGTTTATATCGCCATGGGTACTAGTCGGCAAGGAGGAAAAAACGGCTCTACATGGACACCTTGAAGGACTTTTTGAAACGGCTGCAGATCAATTCGGAGACCTGGAACGACCTCCCCCAGAACAGACCGACATGGCGAAGAGAAGAGAGAAGACCGGCGCAAATCGGATCGCCGACGCCAGAGCCAAAGGGCGGTTCGCAAGACACAATTACCTCGCCTCTTCAATGCGAACCATTCGCCGCTCCCAACATGTCCGGGATGCCAACGAGCATTCCGCGGGCGAATCGGTTTCATGGAACAGCTTCGGGCCCAGTTCGCCGTCAACCCGATAACGTTTACTTCTTCTCCCACTCTCACTCCTGCCGCAAACCCCACGCCGATTTCTGCCTCTGTCACCGTCTATCACAATGTTGCTGCCCTGCCGCCACCGTCCACTGACATCACCCGCCCTGCCCCAACCCCTGCATCAACCGCAGCGGCCAGCATCACCGCCGCCGCATATTCACGCACTCCCCCACCAACGGGACGACGCCTGTCATCTCATTATCTTCTACCATCACCACTAACGCACCCACATTCAGGAATGTGGGCTGGGTTACTTTTTGTCCTCATCGCGATCTAACATCCAACTCACACATCAGCCTGGCCGGTCACTTGCGAATCCATCGCCCAGATACTGGTGAATCAGTGCCTGGAGCACCAACCTACACTCGCCGGATCCGCCTTCAATGCCCTCACAGCCACCGGCACATTCTCTCACTTCATGGGTTTATTAGGCTACATACATATTCATGAAAACCCGCGGTAGACAACCGCCGGCTACGTCACACGATCACACATTCTTCCATCAGCACCTGAACCACACAACAACACCCATCATCACACAATGCAAGGACTCAAGTGCCACCTCCCACGCAAGTGGTGAGTGTGCTTCTGGGTTTCTTCTCTATGTGGCTCCTCTGCTGAACGTGTGATCCGAGTCTGAGACTATCACGGTGAGCACAGCACCGTGGCTTGGGAGACTGCCGACTGACTCCGCACCTCAGTCCACTCAGTCTGTCCAGTTATGCGTGTTTGTGTGGAATAGCGGGCTGATAGGCTAAGAATCAGGCTGTCACGGCGACTTTTTGAAGTGCTCTGTGATACTCATACGCATGTGAGGATTGTGTTCATATGGAAGTGCCTCTCAGTCGATGACTGATTAGTTACCTGGACTTTGAAGGGTGATGGCACAGGCAAAGGCTGGGCTGTGTGTTACTCTTCTGCACCTCAAGAGACGTAAGCTTCCATGATCAGCAAACCGTGACCCTCGCAGCCTGGCGTGCGCTGGAATTTGACGGCACCTGCTTTCCTACCGTTAGATGCACTGGTCCTTCTGCTGGGAATATAGGTCGTGAGCATGGCTGCCTAGCCGTTGCTGTGCTGGTGTTGTTGATTTAAATATCAGCCAAGTGTGTAGGTATTGAAGGGTTAGGGACAGACAACTTGATGACCCAATTTTGTACAATGATTTCGCATGTTCGCACTAAAAATATAATCGCAAACATTAAGAATTTGCTGGGTTCTCAACACAGCATTAATAACAAGGAAGCGCATTTGTTCACTGCGAGTCGGCTCGCATTGTGTATAGCAAAGTGTTTTAGCGAACTGGCGGCGTGTGTTCGTATAGTAAAAGTCGGTCTTTGTCGAAAATTACGCGTGCAAGTTTTATTTTAAACATGTAATTGATGTCGGCCGTCATCATCTCACTTGGTGGCGAGCTCCATGGTCGGACAATTCGTCGGTTGGAGGAACACTTCCTACGATCGAGTCGCGTGCGTTAGCTCTTGACATTGTAGGGATGGCCGCGTAGTTGACTTTTAGTGGCGAACTCAAGGCAGTCTTCCGGTCTCAGTGAGCAACCTCGGTCTCTAGCAATTCGGAATGTCCAGAGTAGACTGTAGTTTATTTGCCTAGAAGAGAGAGAGGGAACAAGCCATGCACATTCAGCCTCTCCTGGTACGACAAATGCTCTAGACCATCGACCATCTTCGTTGCTCTGCGTTGCTCTTGTTCGATGAGGTCAGTATCCTTCCTTATTCATGGTGAACCTGATGACATTCCATACTCCAGGTGGGGTCTTGCAAACACTGAAAATTCTGTCGAGGAGTTCGGGAGGTAATATTTTAAATGCACATCTGTTCCAGTGTAATGTATTATTTGCCTTTTGGACCATCTTCTTACAGTGTTCTGATGGCATCAGATTCGTGGTCGTCCATACACCCGAATCTCTGTGTCCTTCTAAAGTTTCTAATGCCGTCCCAGTAATATAGCACTGATGTTTGGGAGAGGCATTTCGGTCCGCGTTTAGGTGTAGGACTAGAGGATGTTGAATAATACGCCTGGGTGCGGGTCCTGTCGCGCCATCCACCTGCGTCCCCCCGCCCCCGATCTTCTCGACTCAGTCTTGACAACGGTCCTAGGTGGGGAGGAGAGAGAGTGCGTTATATGCCGCGCAAGTCTACTTCCACTGCAAACAATTCAGGCGCATGTCACCGTGACTGCTTTACATTGTTGTGGATCACACGGTGGACATCCTCCCGCACGACAGTGCAGCTGTCGATAAGCAAAGAGGAATTTTCATCCTCAAAATTGCGATGAAAATCGCTGCCCGTATCCTGACTGGTCGTCCGAACAGGCAACTGACGTAGGGACCTCCTGAGGATCTGTGCAGATTCCGGCGTCATCTTCGTTGTCAGCCAAATGCAAGAGCAATGTCAGAAACTGCAGACCAACCTGCACCTGCCTTAGACACTTTCGCGAACGATCCACTCTAAAGGTAAGCCAGCTTCATGACCATTTGATGGCGCGCGTCACGGACAACGGGGCAGCCTCGGAAGCATTCGCGGCGACTAATGATGTGAAGCGGAACTGCATACTCGCTCCCACAGTCCTCAGTCTTATGCTATTTACCATGTTTATGGACTCCTTCCGTGAAGAGTGCTTAAACATCATCGTCGTCTACAAGACAGACGGCCTCTTCTTCAACATCCAACGCATAGAGGCCCCAACGTGTCACTACAAGACTACTCTACACGACTTGTTCTTCGCAAATTACTGGGCGTCCAACACAACGACAGATGCGGATATGCAAAAAAGCGTGGAACTCTTCGCTGCCAGCTTCGCACACTTGGATCTGGCCATCAACATGGATACTCCGATGGTCATGCATCAGCCAATGTCAGACAACGAACTTCGCATCTATTTCAACGGTATTTAACTCAAACTAGTGGACACATTTGCCACTTTAGGCAGCACACCTTCACGGAATACCAAAATCTAAGGTAAAGTTGCACAGTTGATTTACAAAAGCAGTCACGCCTTCGGTCGCCTACAGACCTCCTTTTGGAACCGCCGATGAATTCGTCTCAGCACAAAGCTCTAAAGTGCGTTCAACAGTGGTCGTGAGGAGAATGCCCTGTATGAGGCGGAGAAATGGACCATCTACGCCAGTTAAGGCATCCATCTTAGCTGTCTCTGGTGAATATCAAAGATCGGGTGACAGGAAAAGATACCAGACATGGAAGTCCTGGAACAGCGGAAATTCTCATGTTCAGGCTATATCGCAACATTTAACATAAGCTTGAGGGGCACTTCGCGAGGCATCGATCTGGAGACCTAAGATGATCTCACTTGGGGTCGACCAGCCTGAAGATGAGCAGGGGCGACTGGAGCAGCAATCTACACAACTGACTGGATTTCCTCTGTCAAAGTCAAAAGGGCGGCCAAAACGTTTCGCACGCCTCGGATCCACAACCCGAGCGTCCACCCATCCCATTGTGTCCCCATTTTAAACGGACATTCCGCGCAAGGGTTGGCCTCGTCAGGCAAAAACGGCTCCACCTGCTGCCTCCGAAAACGCCTCCGTAGTCACACCTGCCGCAACTCCCACGACGACGGCCACCACCGGTGGGCATACGTTCGATGCATCGTGGCCGCCGCAGACCGCCATACTCATCATCACTGCCTTGACCTCCCGCGACCACGGCGACCACTACCACTCCTCCCACTCCCACCACCAGTGATAACCCTCCCGGCGCCCCACCGATCGCAAATTTCACTACTACTACTACTTCTACTACTACTACTACTACTAATAATAATAATAATAATAATAATAATAATAATCAGTCAGTCAGTCAGTGAATTTGAGGGAAATAGGCTTACGCCTTTGAACTCCCTATTCGTACATAAAAAATCGATAAACAAGCAAAAATGTGAAGAAATTACAGCATTAAGTGAATGCATACATTGATTCACATATGTCACTAGTCACATGGCTAAAAAGTCACATAGTCCGCTTGTTGCTGCAGCATATATCTGTCAAGGCGACATTTAAATGTCTTCACAGATTAAGACATAACAACCGTCTCGGGCAGGTTATTCCACGGTTCCACGACACGGTTGGAGAAGAAATATTTTCTCACATTCAGTCTACCCTGTGGCACACGTAGCTTGAAGATATGTCCCCGGAGGTGAGTTGTGGTGGCGAGGTTGGAAAAAGTCATCGCACCGAAGGGCACAATCCAAGCCGCGCACGATACGGAAAGTTTGTATCATGTCTCCGCGCAACTGCCTATAACTCAGAGGATAGAGATTAAGGTTAGTTAAGCGGATCTCGTATGGCTGTGCACTTTGACCTCTTACTAATTTTGTGGCTCGCCTCTGCACCCTTTCGAGCAGATCGTAATCCTGATGCGTCCACGGTCTCCAGGCCTGAAATGCATATCCGAGATGGGGCCTTATAAACGTGCCGAAGACTTTGGTGAAGCAGTCTTCATCGAAAACTACGAATGCCCGCTTGATGGCATATGGCATTGAGGTTGCGGCCTTGGCCGCCTTACAGCATTGTGTAGAAGGCTTTAGGCTGTCGGCAACTTAAACTCCGAGATCTTTCTGAGTTTCTGCTTCTCAGAGTGGCATTCCGTTCAGATGGTATTGCCGCGTACTAGGGGTCTGATTTCCGAGGCGCAGAATGGTGCATTTGTTCAAATTGAAGGACAAGGGCCATCTGCGGGACCACTCGTCCAATCGACAAGGATTTTCTTGGAAGTTGGTCTCATCGGCAGCATTCTGGATGACTTTCCAGATTTTTATGTCGTCCGCAAACATGGCACAATCACAGTCCAACCCATCTACACAATCATTGATGAACAAGAGAAAGAGGGTTGGTCCGAGCACCGAGCCTTGTGGGACACCACTCTCTATGAATGTGCACCTTGATTGCCGTTGTTCTACGCAGACAATTTGGGAGCGGCCGACAAGGAAATAATAATAATAATAACGATAATACCACCACTAATAGTGTCACCCCCCACCAGCACCAACAATGCGGACGCTATCCAAACTTGTCCTCAGTGTGACCGCACTTTTGCCTTCCACATCGACCTAGTAGGTCACTTGCCAATCCATCGCACTGAGACTGGTAAACCAACGCCGGAAGCACCAACATACACCCGCCGCCTATTGCCTCAGTTGCCTTCACTGTACACTCAGATACATTCATTGTACGGGCCTATTCGATCACATGCGCCAGCATGAGCATCTGTGGTAAAACACCGCAGACATAGTACCATCAACACACATCTCTCCATCAGCCCACACACGAACCCGTTCCACACCACCTATCCCACGCACGGAATAGTCCCCTCCCATTTGAGTGGACAACGTGTTATATTACGTGCGTGACACGCAGGCGGGATATATAGCCACTGCGTCCAATCCCTACAGACAGTACGGACAGTCGACTGGCGTAAATGAGAGGAAAAGGCGAGTGAAGCGGATTCTGGGGACATCATTCTCACGACACTGCAGCGTATTTCAATTTATACTAAATCCGATGCGCTTGCGTCTGCCACGACACGCTTAACGTCGTGACTTGGAAGGTTGCCAGCTGACGAGACAACACAGAGCTCACAGTCGGCTGTGTGTGTGCGTGGAGTGCCTGACAGGGGGGCCGAGAATCAGGCTTAATGGCTACGTCTTACCGTGGCCTCCATGGTACTCTCACGCATGTGTGGTCGGAACCCTCCAACCCATTGTGCGAAAACCTGATCCATCCTGTGCGTGCAGCACATGCAGACGAGCCACTGCGTCCGATCCCGTCTTCCGCCTTCCTGGTTCTGTTTTGACATTGGGTTCGGATGGGTGAGAAGGAGTGCGATAAGAAAAACACACGTCTTCTGACATTACCAACCAGGGAAACACGGTTAACATGATCGATCGTTGTTGTTGGACAATCGTCAACGCGAGGTTTGGTGATAGTGTAAGAGAATTTATTCCACAGTATGCCTGTACTAAAGACTACGCTTGGAGACACCAGGCACTACCCCTGCAGCAGGCCTGCGATCAATTCTCCAACTCCGGTGGATCAAACGTAACGTCGCACGTCACGAAATACACGCCCTTCCAGCGTGGAAAGCATGTCCTCCAATGTGGTCTGAAGTAGGAAGCACGCCGTGCGTGGCCCGCGTAGGTGGGCTGTTCAGCTTCGTTAGTCACTGCGTCCACGCCCAACTCAGATCGTGTTTACCTTTTCTGGCCATGGGAGAAAGCTGGTTGGGGGAAAAGAGGGTGCGGCAGATTGCGGCGATGCAAATACTGGGTTGCATTAGCCGGGGAGGGGCGAGTGCAACCAGGAGCATAGATTGATTGGACTGTGCAGACGCACCCGCCTTCAGACCGGAGTCACTCGCGTAGCTGCATGTCAGTGGGTTTTGGATAAGGTAAAGTTGCTTTGCAATAGGAGCAATTGAGTGATCATGAGTTGTTTGAGCTCCGAAGCAAAAAATGTGGCCGTTGTAATGATGACAGTTGGCCAGAATTTTCAATGTTCTGGAGTTCACAGCCCGGGATTAAATTCTACCTTTACCCGATGACAGGATTTTGACTGGTGAACAGCGAATTTGGGACACATAAGCTACTCACGCCTGCACTAAACGACTACCAGCAGGTACCCATGCTTCCTCTGTTAAGTTTTAAACTATGCTGACCCGTAGGTATACTTTGTTACAATGGTAGGGGGCGCTCACCGATCGTTCATACGGAACTCACTCGTTCCGCTGTGCCTTAAGGGCTCTCTCTCTCGGGCCCAACCAGCAGCCGCACAGCGGCGCATGATATATAGGCAGGATGGCATTGCCGACAAAAACAAGGGAGACAGTCTCCCTTGTCTTTGTCGGCAATACCATTCTGCCTCTACTTTTTTACACTGGTATAGCATATTTAGGGTGATGTGCATCGCCCTTGATGACCCTACTGAGAACGACGTACACAATATTAATGTTAAATGCCCATCTTACTAAAACGTTACCAGTAACATGGTTGTCCACGGAAAACGTTTTTTCAGTGTGTAACTGCGAGGGGTGCCTTAGACGGTCCTTTCCATGTACAGCGATTGACTGATCTCATCAAATGTTGGCTGAAATTCTGAAATGAATTTTCGATTAGGAAGGATTACTTAGGCGCAGTTGTCATACTGATTATCGTGTGGCATAATCCTATAATATTTCGCACTCGCAAGATGCCGGCTTTTAAATACACTGCTTTTCAATCTCCCGCAGAAACAGTGCTCGGTTAAAAAATTATTAAACATATATTTTATAGAAACCACGAACGAAACCGTAATTTCTTTCAGTCGTTTGATAGATAAATACGTCATCTTTATATTTTATACTCGAAAAAGGAGTATAACTTAGTTCTAAAAAGTTTATAATTATGAGATTTTTTAAGACCGCGCAATGTCCGTTCATATAGCATCGTGCCTCTCCGTTACCACTGCTCCTAATGAAAAGTACAACATAGTCCGCATCCATTGCAAAATTTTATGGACTTCATATCATATCCTTTTAAAAGTATAGAAGAATATGTGATTTTCTTTCCGCGAAGCGCATGCAACTTATAGACTGGAATCACTAACCGTCAGTGCTCCGACCGATCAGGCTCCAAATTATTCGGCAGTTGGAGAACTTTTTAAGGCCTAATTATATTCCTTCTTCGAGTATATAATATGACGATGAAGTAATTCTCTATCAGACGACTGAAAGAAAGCATATTTTTGTTCGTAGTTTCTGTAAAATATGCTTGATTTTGCAATACCATCGAAAATCAATGGGAAAATGCATGCTACCTAAGTAGTCCTTTTTCAAAAAGTGCGGTTTCTAGAGGACTTCAAAATCCATGTAGTCAAAAAGCTGACATCCTACCAAGTCCGAAATATTATAGGATTGTGCCGCAAGATAATAAGTATTACAAGCGCCCCTAAGTAATCCTTCCTAGTCGAAAACGCATTTCAGTATATCAGCCAACATTTCATGAGATCGGTCACACTCATTTCAGCCGCATCTGTAGAATGCTGAAGGTGAAGTGCGGGGAAGCGATCTCTGACTCTGGAATCCTGGAAAGAAACGACCTCCGCAGTATCCACATACTATTGATGCAGACAAACATGCGTTGAGGTGGATGGACGACGAGTAAACTGAAACTTCTTGAAAAGTGAATGGTTAACCCCCAGTTATCCGGCAGAAGCTGAAAGTCTCACTTTATAAAACACTGGTACAATATTTTGTTCAACAGTGATCTTTTCCACTTGTGGATTTCGGAATATTTTTTGATGTACTCGAATATCTGTGACAGAGCCACTGTCTAGATAGTTCAAATACTGTCGAAACCGACTCTTGACAAATGTCCCCTATATAATCTGCAGCCTCGTCATGGTGTCATCTCAATGATCAGGTAGTTTTATTGTGTGTCCCTCACAAACTATTGGAAGGATCGGATACCACTTTCATCAAATAATCTACTTCCGGAATGTTGTTTTACTTATCACAGCCTACGTTTGCTCCGTCATGTGGCACTTCGTTTGCCACGTCGGCGCCGCAGGGGAGATGCATGGTGTGTCGCGTGAGGACGTGTTTTCGAGGAATGTGCGTGCGTGTGTCCGGGGGGGGAGTGCAGGCAGGTAGGGCGAGGGGGTCTTGGTGAGATCCTCCGGTGCATGAAAACAGATGAGAATCGTCAAAACACATCGTCGCATCTGCACATACAACTCTAAGCTGCTCATGAACCTGCTGCATGACACGCGCCTACGCTGCATCTCTCCATGGCACACCATGTTTCTCTCCTACAGCAAGCACGCGAGTGCATGCTGATCTGAAAAAAGTAAGAAGATAGACCCTCGAACACGAACTCTCAGGAACCGCAGAGAGAAGGTATCATGTGGGGAGTCGCGGCAGTACTATCCGATGGTGGCAACTTGTCCAAGTACGATCAATGCGGAGTCCCTGCTTTTGTTGGTAAAACTTCTCCATGTAGTGTTCAGTTTCTAGTGTTATCAGAATGAAGTGCTGAAGCTAAAAGACTTCATTTTAAATAAAGGGAGACAGCACTTTGTTCGGGAGCAGTTGCTCCTTCTTGATGGTCTACAAGAGTCCCTTTGATATGCTCGACCCCTGGTGCCAAGGGCTTCTTCAAGAGGCCATTCTATACGGTCAGGTACCCACATAATTGTGACACCTCTGCGATCCGGTGCAGTTACCGCGTGTCTCTCATAAACTGTGGAAAATTCCCATGCCCCCTTTCAACAAATCATCGATCCCAGACACGTTCCTACACTTATCCCAGCAGCACAGTACCGGAGACTGTCATTGTGTCATCTCTCAAAGCAGGTAGTTTTACTGTGTGTCCCCCACAAACTATTAGAATGATCGCATACCACTTCCACCAAATGTTCTACTTCGGCATGTTGTTTTACTTACCAATACCACACTTTCCTTCTGTCAGAGACCTTAGCGTGAAATGTACACAGGGTGGGAAACTTAAAGACCTAGTGAAACCTGGACGACGATGAATTGCTGAAAATGTCCCGATGGACAATATTTGCGCTCTCAGAAAGAGCCAAGCATAGAACAGACGACTCGCTGAAACGGTCAAATAAGGATCCGCCGACCGAAGGCAAATGCTTGGACACAATCATTATCGGACATTTTGAGTCATGAGGTCAATCTAATCGGGTATGTCGGGATGCAATGCGGGGCGTATTGAACCGACTGTGAAAATACCATTGAGTTTAAAGGCGTCGTTAGTGAGCGCACATATGAGGGGGAGAAAAATGAGTAAGGAAGAAGTGGGTGGGTTAGTCTCAGAAGTACGGACGGCAGAACCTTTGTTCTAGTGACGCTGGTGACCAGAAAGGCTGAGTTAGCAACCTCGTCCCTGTTACCGACGGCTGAGATAAACTTGACCGTTGGGTTCGGGCACTCATTCAACGCTTGCAGCCCTTCGGTTACGGATTCTTCTTTGTTGTCTTTGACACACAGTCGACCTTTGGCCTTAATGCCTACGCATTATCATCGCCTACCTACTCAAGTCTCTCTGAGATGGGATAATCAGTTTTCCACTCAATCCTCGACAATCCGCAGACCCACCCGCCTCCGCTTATCAAGAGCGTCCCGTGCTAGAAAATTCAAAATACCGGTGGGCACCGAATGTAAGAGCGCGATGCGTAACTGCCCCTTATTGTCGTTTTAGCGTTTCATCGGACTTGCAGTATTTTACTGGTCGGCGCACCTGCGTCAGTCTGCTCGGTGTGGAGGGGACGACTGAACATCCCTGTCGGTTGTCTGTTTGCGTCGCGTTTGACACAGTTACTCAGTTCGGCGATGATATGTTGGCCTCCAGTGATCTACTGCATGGTACATGGATGCACACTCGTGCCTCACACTGACGCAACAACAATGGCTTGTTCACAGAGTGATAAAACATTTGTTGCCGCCGACCTCTCAACCGATTGTACACTTCCTGCCACAAAAAAGACTGTCCTTGTAATCTTGACGGCAAGACTGGCTTATATAGCCTCCTAAACAGGAAATGAGAACGGGAACTGCCTGCAATACGGGTGGCTTTGAGTCAACTTCCAGTGAAATTAGGGTTAGGTCTAAGGTTAGGATTAGGTTTGAGACTGGTTTCAAAGTTAAAGGAAAGGTAAACCAGGACCAAGTTGAGGGTTAAGGCGGGAGCTAGTGTTAACTGCAGACTTAAGGTTTAAGGCAGGGTAAGGGTCAAGATTAGGGCAACGGTCTAGTCCTATACTAGGGCCATTGCTGGGGTTAGGACACGGGGATATCCTGCCCTTTCCGGAATAATGTGCAAGTCCACCTCCAGGACGTTCCCATGTCCCGCTTAGGGGCCAGTCCTAACATCTTATCTTCCTGGCTCATGATCTGAGAAACTCCTTGTTGTCAACTCTTGAGGGAAGATATGCCGGACATCCCTGCAGTGGTAGCAGTCACACTACCATCCCGACCACCCAGGGTAAGTCTACTTGCCCGGCAGTCAGTCGCCTCTGCAGACTCTTCCGCCATTCGAAATTGATGAAAAGACATTGGGCAGCTACTACTCCGACCACGTAGGGTAAACCCACTACCATTGTATATTCCCGGTCGAAACCGACAAGGCAACGGGCTCATGGCCCCGTGGGTAGAGGCGTGGACTTCTTAGCCAACAGGTCGCGAGTTCGAGGCTCGGGTGTTCCACACTTCGGGCTTGGGTATGGCTGGCTGACGACGGCTAATAAGCCAGAAATGGCCATTCCAGTCTCCCTTGTCTTTGTCGGTAATACTATTCTGCCTATATCATGCGCCGCTGTGCGGCTGCTGGTTGGGCTCGAGAGAGAGCCCATAAGGCACAACGGAACGAGTGAGTTCCATAAGAACGATCGGTGAGCGCCCACTCCCATTGTAAACCTACTTGCCTGGCGGCCAGTGTCCTCTGTTATTCGACATTGACGAGTAGACTGGTGTGACTGAAGCATAAATTTTGAGCCTTCTGGGGTTTCCGTCTTGTTCTGCGACAAAACGAATCAGCGCTATTAGTGGGTCTGGTCTGCTATTCGAATTCGTACCGATTGCCGTAAAGAACCCAGTATAACGCCATTTTTGAATAAATTCGATTAGCAAATGGGATCTCAACAAGTTCACGGAATGATAAAGTCAACATCAATGCGGAGATTTAAGCGACCAGTCAAGCAAAAGGACACATGGGAAACAGGAAGTATTGGAGATAATGAAAGACGGAAAAGAAGTAAAATCGACGGCGCAAGCGGTGAAAAATGTGCGGCAGTGAAACCACGAATCTGGGGGAGTAAGAAAGAGAAGGACACATTGGCTGTGTGCTTATGAACTCTTCGATTTTTGACGTTTATAGTACTTGTCTCGAAAATGTAGCAAATGTCGTGCACATATAGCAGAGCGCAGTCTGGCAGGAAGGACGAGAAACAAGGTTAGGAATATCTCATGAGCAAGGTAGCCACAATTTAGGCTTGCGACACCCAACATAGACAAAGCTGACGCCGCAAAAGTGGAAGGAAGGGGTGTGAAGAAACTTGGTCGTTTGAGGCCCGACATGGCAGTCGCCACATAGCCTGGCATAATAGTCTGTACCTTAACACAGGTGTCCGCTAGCTCACCAGCTAATGAGGCGCTAAAGTGGATTACAAACGCCTTCGTTCCGGCGTACACAGAAAGGTAAGGGGTGGTAACATAACCGAATTGTGAGGCAATATTGACAATGTAGCGATGAACGCCGTCTGGCGGTGGTGAGCTTAGCATCTTTGGTAGGGTGATGCGAGTCATACAGGTTACTGAAGTCACGTTGCAGACAACCACACTCTGAAGTTTCTCAAGAGTCAGATCATCGCAAGTGGCCAGGGCGTCTGGGTGGGAGTATGCGACACCGACGTTGTTTATGAGAATAGAAACTGAGGGGAGTTCTTCAATTTTTCGTTTTAAGTTCTCATAAAAGTCGGTCTAAAAGAAAAGAAAGAGAAGTAGCCTAAGAAGACATGGATGATGAGGTGCGAAAATAACACAATATGAATAAGATACACGAAAAAGGGTCGTTTGAAGTACTAATTTAAGGAGAATAGCAGGTTCAGTCAGACTGCTGTTCGGGACTCGGGTTCCTGTCATAAATTTTTGGGCTGAAAGCACCATGAGTAATAACCGAGTATGATGTATGACTCTTGAGCTAGAGCCGCAAGGGAGACAACCTCAAACAGCCAGATCGAGCGGTTTTAGGGAAGTCATATTTTTGAGAAATTTCTCACGAAAACGTCGCGCTGCGGCATTCACAGGAACCGATCTGCCTCGTAACCCGGCCCAGGGGTGCGGGCGAATGACATGAGAGATGGGCTACGTAATCAGAAACAGGCACTTGGCATTGGGCGCAACGATATGCAAACGTCCCTGGACCCTGGCGGACGAAGTCTGACAGCGCACAGGCTTTATGACTTCGATGTGAATGTCTGATGCCTGTTTGAAATTCGGATACCGGGCTAAGGCTCACGGGGTCGACTCCAGTCTCACCCTATCTCACAGAGGCCAACGAAATCCCTCTGGTAGACACGGTGTGACGATCTCCTGTTCGTATCAAGCGAGCCATAAACTGTTTCTGTGGCAATCAGTCAGTGGCCGATTTGCTTACATGCGATGCAAGGCGCCTTTACGAACAACTCTGTTCTATTCGCACACGCATTTACGTCAGCTGTCGATCACTGCAATAAAGATACTTGTCCGCGACTAAGTGAAAAACTCTCATGTTATGATTTGCGGATTGACGCTGGTGGCTGGGATGACCGGACTGTGTTGGGCAACCCTCTAAGCAGTAATCTCACTGTTCTCTTTGAGCTTGGATCTCGGCATGACAACGTCAGAGGATGTTAGCAGTCGCTGACCAGAACCAGTTAATAGTCACCAGCACGTGCTGCTAGTCGGTCAGAGTGACTGTGTTCTAGTTAGTTCAACGTCCCGTAGCTGGCTGGATGATAGCGGATCGAAACTTGGTGTCAAAATGAAGACCTAGTCCATGTTTTCGTTCACTCACGCCTGCAAGTCTACCTCTCATAATTTGCAGGACTCATTGATGCTTCAAAAATACGACAACCCAACAGAGCCGAGACTCTGAACACAAAAATCCAGTCTCGCATCGCAACCACAGTCGAAGAAGGAAACAGGGACAAATGTTCACAATCCTCAGTCCTCAGTCCGCAAGGCAGCTGAGAGGATTCCCACAATCACCCAGCAACATTGTGGACACTTGGTCCACTCAGTGATCTTACACTCGTCTGCCAAGACAGCTCCAGCCAGGTCCCGCAACGACCAGCGCAGAAAAATATTGGCAAAGTCGACTAGAAATGAAAGTAAAATCTATTATGCGAAGGTGGCAGCCTCCACAAAGCACATCTCATACATAGATGACACTAAGATTTCATAAAGTTATTTGTTCATTTATTGGTGGACCCTCTGCATTGAGTGTTCGCAACGCAAATGGCGGCTCCACTGCTCCACTGCTTAACGCTGGTCTGAACACTTTGAACACCTACTCCAATTAGCTTACCAATTCAGCACACCCCTCTCTACTTTGCAGCAGTTTCATCCCTCTAAATCCCACACAATGTCCTGTGACTGCTTTATCAGGGAGAAGTCACCAACACAGTAAGAAAACTGACCAAGCGTGAGGAAATGAGCTCGTACCCGACTACTGGATCTCGGTTATCCTTGCCTCCGCCTTCACAGACAATGTGCCAACATTACCTAGACATACGTCTTGTAAACATTGCACTAAAGATCTACCTCAACTACACTGACGATGTCATTTTTGACGTTAAATTATGATGACTTAAAGAATATGCTATCGGGGGTTGGTTAGCTATCTAACTCAATCGGTTTATCCTAAACAGATAAAAAAAACCAGTGTTTTTGCGCTGCATCCCTGATTAGGAGAGGACACGCCAAGGGATTAGTAGCAGTCAACTCGGAGACGTAGAGTCTCAAATAACTAAAGGGGAAGTTGCTATTAAATGGGTAGAGTTATCACGACATTATCTCAATAATCAATGCTAATCGCAGGGCCTAAGAATACTTGGAAAGTTACCGCAGGCCCAGCGTGGAAGCCACCGCCACAAACTTCACCATGTATCGGGCATTCATTCGGTCTGTCCTGAGAATGTCGGGCTGTGCGCATAAAAGATTGGCGAAAAGTAGGTGTTTGATTACTGTCGTCTAAAAAGCGTCTTTCGAATAAAATACACGGAGTTTCCCCAAACTAGATAGATTTGACTCGATGCTGCACTACAAAGATACCACAATGGATCTGAGAAACACAACTGAGGTGGTTTTAACACATTTTCAGTTGTCTGTCGCATGCGTCAATGTAGCACATCCGGCGCCGTTGAATATCTGTAAGGGTTGAAAAGACGAGGTCAAAATCGGGTCAGCACACTCCGTCAAGACATGGAAATGTTTCTTTGGTCCTCGGTATTTGGTCTTCGTAGCTGTAGGAGAGAACTAGTCGAGCATCCCACTTTCGTTGCCGCACATCGTTACGCATTGAGAGATACAATTACCGACATCATCGACACCGGCTAGGACAGGCATGATCACAGCCATGACAAGTACAAGTATGCAGGAGCGTTGATACAACCGACATCGTGAACTATTTACAGATACAGTTGATCTTGCTGAATTGTCAACACAAGCCATAACTTCTGCATCATTATTATTAAGGTAGTTTAAAAAGACAGTCAACTAATAAAAGTGAATGTAGGTTGACTATGAGCAAGTAGTCTGATTTCAAGGGCATGGAACTTACAGTAGTGAAGTCGGCGGTGAAAATCTTGGTCTCCACCTTGAAAAGGGACTGGATTTCGTCAGCCACCTTGGTTAGTTTCTCAGTTGACCTGCTTATAAGGAAGACGTTCATTCCATCCCGAGCCAACTCGTGGGCGAACGCTTTGCCAATGCCGTCTGTCGCCCCAGTTACAATAGCCCAATCGCCAGCTTTTTTCAGGTCTGCCCGTTTAGAGAGGCAGAATCGTAACAGATAAAAGGTTATGAATGGTCGAATGAAGTAAAACGCGAGAAAAGCTACGGTGATGATTCCAATAATCGCAAAGACAATCAACGTAGACATAGTGGATGGTCCCAAATTGTCAATGAATGCGAGGTCGGGCGGGAGGCTAAAACGACAGACGGTTAAATAACAATGGGATTACTCCATGATGACATTGCAATTTGGGAAAGAACCATTTTGCTTATAGGTAAAGACAAAAGCTTAAACACAAACTATGGATGCGCGAAATTGTTTATTTTCCGAAATGGGAGGCCAGAAAAGGACGCATGCAATACAGACGACAAAATCCAGACCGGGCCAGACAGGTGCTTAAATGCACGGGACGGTTTCAAATGAGCGTAAAATTTGGCATGTGAAAAAAGGGCCTGCAACCATATGAACTTCTTTTAGAAGAGAAACAGGGCGACCTGAGGGGAAGAAGCTGGAGGTAGGCCATCACTGCAAATTTTCAGTCGTGCGTGACCTCATGAGTCTTCTTCAGCAAGGCGTACCGTCCTCGAATAAACTCCGAAGAGTTCGATGTTCTTGGGCTCCAGAACATACTCTTTGAACATTTCGGGCTTACGGTGACAGGAAAAGTCGGAGCTAACCATCAACAAGCACCGGCGTAAGTGTCGGTTAATTGCATTGTAGCTTGGCGTTAACTTTAGAACGGTTCGGTGGCTAGGGCAGGAGGTTGTTTGGGCTCGAAGGTATTAACGAGAGTCTGGAAGAAAGTTGACCACGAAGAGCCTAGCGGAATGTCCATGGACACAAGCTGCCGAACAACCGTGGCATCCATCCAGAATATAAAATGAGAACAAACGTTCTGAGGGGTGTCTGGGACTCCGAGCGTTTGGTCGGAAACAGTATACCTCACTGCAGAAAGCGTCTGAGTTCGCTTGCTTGCAAAGCTGCAGAGGTAGTTTAGCGCTGGCTTTCTTACGCTAAGTTCGTCTTATTACCAGTCTAGCTTCATCCCATTTCCCGCCCGAACCTCATTCAGATGCCCGCCCTTATTCCATTCATCTACCTTGGTGTCCCGTTCATTTAAGTGACCCTCTGTTTTGCTCTCATCCTGATCTACAGGGTCCTGAGCGTAAAATTTCCCAAAGTAGATAAACAACCTTCAGAAAGCGTCCCTGCGGCGTGTAGTGATTGAGACCGATGAGAATGGCGCATGCATGCGCCATGACCATGATCGTCTACTTATAAGTGGGTGCAGTGGACGAGTTAGGCGCAAAGTTGTGTCCATCTGATAACTGAGTACTCATATGAATACTCAGGTAATGGTCATTGCCAAACTCGAGTTTGGTTGTGGGGGATTCCTAAAAATACAATTAAGAAGGATAATCGATTCGCTTGGAAGAACGTCTCGATCTATGAGAGAGTTAGCGTTGTGGTCAAATAAAAAAGGCGAGCATATGCCAAGCAGACGGTGCGGGGACGTCCCTGCATCGTACGATACAGAAAATCTGATATTGGGAGGGAGTCCATGAGAAAAAGCATACACACCGGCAAACTGCCATGCCAAACCTAATCTGGATCCGCTTGACGCACCGAGTTCCTGACTACTGAAGCGAGACCCAGTACGTACAAGTCCACTGAGCAATGACTGACTCCTCTCTCAATCGATTAGTGCGCTGCAAACCCTCCAAGGTCATCTATTCCCTTGATCGTCTGCACTTCAGCTCGTTTAAATCACAGTCATAGGCGTATAAGCCGCTAATCAGGTGTATTCGGCTGTTAAGCATGTCGAAAGCCCTGCTAGAGTTTTAAAAACGACCACTATAAATTCCTGACTATCTAGCTACTTTCTCAGGATTCCCATTGTAGTGAAGGTAGACCGGATGCAAGTCTCAAGATACTACCCAAGCGTTTGCGCACGTCGATCTGCGTCTGACCATGGCGAATGCCCTTCGATGTCCGTTGTCCGAAATACCTTTTTCCTATCCGGAAATGTCTTCCGGAGATGAAAATGAAGGCACGTGTTTGATTGTCTGCGAGAAAAATCCGAGCTAGCTGGGGATGAGTGCGGATGTTATCTTCTCGTCGAACACAGTCCGGGTACTTCTGTAGTTTCAACGCACAGTTATGCACTGGATGGTCTTTATATATTAACGAGCAACTTTGGAACCTTTTGGTCGAGTTGTGGCTGACTTAGCTAATATTTAAATGCAGTGACATCCAAATCCGTCATATTCGACTCGCTCTTCCCCTTCCGTCTACGATATTTTGCGGTAGCCAATGTCCTCGACGTTGGTGTCACAGCTTCTGTGTTATGCAGTTGCACAGTCTGGTCCACCGTGCTGTCCACCGGGTTGACGCGTTCTTAATATGTGCTCATTTTTATGACTAGATACTAATCAACGGCAGCCATGCTCTGCTTAATGTATCAGCGTGCATTAATACACAGCGTGCCTCCAAAGAATCAACTTAAATAGTGGAGTCAGGAAGCCGTATTTCTCACAACTCATAAACTAATACGCTAGTGTAGCTTTAGGTACTCGGGATGCTGAAGACATCTGCCGTGAATGAATCAAATGCTGAACGACAAGACGGCGTGGCCGTCCGCGCGCAGTGAAATATCTCCGACAGTGCAAACGACCTATCTGTCGGCTGCTAGATACAAAACACAGGTGCAGGATGGATACTGGTTATCATGATAATATGTGGGGACCACTGTCCTCGGACTAGGACCGATTTCGTGAGTAAATGCGCGTATGTCCGAGTCTATGATGGTGTCACAATCACTCGCGGGCAATGTTGCACTATTGACTCGGAAAGTGCAAAAACCCCAACAGTGGTGTCCCCATTACCACCACCAAAGCATATGATGACATTTTAGTTCTTCTGCCCTTAGAAGTCACTCTCCAAACAAATTAAACACTCAACTAATTGTTAGAATACAGACAGTGTGGTCAGCAATTGTCTGTGTGAGCAGCCAGATGTACAGTGAACTTCGGAAATTGAGCCATGTGAAATGGTCATTTGGTAACGTCCGCCGGCAATTCGCCCTTTCCCGTACGTTAAAAATGATAGAACTATCGAAAATTTCCAAATTCAAAGCTTATAGAAAGAAATGGTGGGCTCCAAACGAGGCACGGAATAAGCTCCAGAAATTGACAGTGAGCGAGAATTTAGGGAAACATCACTTTCAAAAAGTATGCGAGGAAAAATGTTACTTCGCGAATGGGTATAGAGGACTGGCGTAGGTTAATACTGATAGTAGAATGAAACCATAAAGACAGTTCAGCAAGTGACAACTAAACGTCATTTTGTTATCCCTGGAGATGCTAAGTGGTGGCACACCTACATTACGATCGAGAATGAATTGGGACTTTGACACTGCCGAGAGATCCTGAAAAACAAAATCATGCCGGTAAAGCGCAATGAGAACGGGTAAGGCGATTTTTGGCGGGGTACTTAATGCTCCGTTGTCTTTTTCAAAGTTTCGGAGAGAGAGCTGGATGGGGAAGATGACGAAAGTAAAGGAGTCAGTGTTAAGATAAAGACGAAGTCTACTCTTGAAGGCAGACATCTATCTAATATAGACTTGCAGGTTACTTCAAAGAAGAGTGTACCTGGAAGCAAAGGAGGGGGAGCGGTTATAGGCGGCGGAGGAGGGGTTTGTAGGATCAGGTAAGAAATAAGAAGACTGCGTGAGGTGACTTAGAGGGGAGAGAGCTGAAATATGAAGAAGTTTTGAGTTATTGTTAATGTGGAAAGGGAGACATAGTCCAACTTCTAATCTGCAAATCCAGAGGAGTTTCAGGTTGGTTAGCTAGCACCCACTTAAGTAGAAACTATCCGGATGTGTCAGATCTGGGATTTCTCTAGTATACTGCCCTCGTTGTTTTACATTACACAAAATAATGGTAGCAGTACTCGGGAATCAGAAAGACAAGCATTCGACGAAGTCTTAATTTAACTTCAGGAAGACAGAAGCTATAAGAAACGAAGTCACATATAATGGCTTCCTTGACCGTAATGCTGTCGACATGCGACGAAGTATCTACATTATTGGTGTAATCCAAGCTTAATTCCTGGATGTTTGAACATTCATTCACAGGAGTCCCTTGGAAATAACTGGCTTGGTAGTCTTTCAGGTTCAAAATATTTAGCGACATTTATGAAAAGATAATCTCACCAAACATGTCGAGCTCCACGCAAAAACAGCAAGCAAGCCAGCGTGGATTTTTTCCAAGTAATGCTAAATCGTAGATTTAGAAAAAAAAAAATATACGCATTTGAGGTCATCCGCATAATTAACAGTCCCAGAGTGTTTAAATGACGACGAAATACTATAAAAATAAAGAACATGGGGGACCTTTTGTGGTACCTTAGAGGACATCGCTTACTATAGGGCTCTTATTAAAATGAGGACCTCATTAAGTCCTTTTGCTTTTAGCTAGATAGATACGGCTGAATAAAATCAATAAGAGGGCTACGAGTCCCTAGAGCCTCCAGCCCAACTAAGTCTCCAATGTGACAGTTTATGGGATGCTTTACTAATGTCAGGATAGATGACGACCACCGACGGCTTATTGTTACGAAGAGAATTAAGTATATTCAGAAAAGGCATGTTGCACGCGTTCTAAAAATGATCAGGCACAAATTTATGCTGGAGAGTGCTAAGAACTTCATTGACCGTGCAAAATCGGTAGATCTCCTAGCATCATTTTCCAAACATATTATTGACAGAGGGCGTTTTGTGAACGCCCCAATGGTTTGAAAATAAAACCGACGTCTGGAATTAAATACCAGAATAGTATTTGAAATTTTCCAATAACCAGGAAGAAAGTCTTTCTCAGGAATGACAGAGAGCGATTTGATCAATAGAGGAGCAATGTCTTTTGGCTGTTTAAAATGAGAGTTCATGTAGTTGCCAGTTCCAAACGAAAGCAAGTTATTAACTTGGCTAATCTGTTTTTGAATACTTGCGAGAACAAAATTAATGGCCATGGGAAATGCATCAGATGATGAGGAAACTGAGGAGATGCGACCAGCTTCAAACGCAAAGTAATTGACAAAGAATGAATTAAAGAGTTTTGTTCTGCCCGACTCCTCTCTGTTGAGAGAGTTGCCGCAATTAAAAAAGGAAGAATGTCTTGATAAAACTTGGTGACCAACCGGGACGGAAGACATGAACTACATATCTGGAAGGTTTTGAATTATAAGGAACCAAAGAATCCTACACCAATATTGAGCGAAATTTATTTTTGAAACTAATCCAGATATTATAGTTATTCTTAACTGAAGCAATAGTGAGTTTATAAATGTGTTCTAAGGCCGCTTTCTTAACTTTTTTAATTTGTTCTCAAGATAATGTGGAGCAGTGGGAAGAGCAGCGGGAAGGGCAGCATCCGACTTAATCATCTTTAGTGGGACGAATCCAAGAAGCGATTGTGATAGTTACAGCAACAAATCGGGAAACGTTTAGACCATACCTTTAAAAATGCTGGGCCAGTCCAAGGTGATTGTGATATTATTTACCGAGTCCTTGTTAAAATTGGAAAACTCAAGGTAGCAACGAGTTACCGCTTTGTATACAGGTGGTGAAGTCCGAGGACAACAATGAATTAATGCGTGATCACCTGTAGAAAGTTCACAGTGAAAATTCATGAATGAATTGTCGATCTTATTAGTAAGAGTTGAATCTAATGTTGTATTTTTGGTCGATAAGTAAACTAGTTGAGACTAGTTTGGAAACGGAATGGTACTCACAAGCATTTGAAGTTTGCGAGGGGACGTTTTCGAATGCCAGTCAATTTCTGGCCAGCTAAAATCGTCTATGATTATTTTGACATCAAATGGAGTCTCTGCGATTATTTCAGAGTTTGTATAGATGGCATCCATTGTCGGAATGACAAAGAAAATTATATACACAGTCAAGTAACGCTTCCTATTCTGCGGGAGGATGACTGTAACGAACAGGTATAATCGGAAAAGGAAATGTTCAGAGCATAGTGCTGATGTACATGTGAGAATGTGATATAGAGAAGACAACCATCGCCAAGTTCTTAAACATGTCCTTGTCGGTATAGATTAAGCTTGTCTACAGTGAGCGCCTTCTAGGAAATTAGAGAGTGAGCTGAAGATACTTTAATGCACAGAACATCTGAATCATGCTCGAAGACTAAAGTTCTCAGCTGGGTCACTTTTTTCACCACTGTTCTCCTGTCAGAGAAAACGACATTGACCGCATTATTGGGATGTGATTCGAAATCATTCCAGTTCAAGTAAGGAAGAGCTGGTGGTGGAATATAAAACTGTAGGGGAGAGATGAGCGACGGAAAGTGAAGTTGCTGTGCTTTACCATTTGTAGGGATGTTATTATTAACCGAAGAAGCATTACCGTAGAGAAACACTTGGGTAGGCGCCACGGGGAAGAATTCTATTACTTGGAGTCGAAAAGATAGGACACACATTAAGAGGATTTTAAACCGGATTAGCGTAACATGAGGGGAACGTGTATCAGAAAACGGAATAAACCGTCTCAAAATTGCTTATAATAGGAGTAAGCTGGATTTCTTGAGTAGTTTAACAGGCCCTCCGATTGGGACAAATGTTGATCACACTGTTTGCATGCATAGTTAATGTTGATGTGTTAGCAAGCCTTCTAGCCGTAATGCCTTTCACTTTTTAGGGATTTTGATTAGGAGCAAGCAAAGATTGGCCTGTAATGTTATTTGGTTTACTAGATTGTACCATTAGGTCAGGTGCCTGGCATCGGAGGGAGATGGACTTGACTCGACTGTCTGATCTAAATCAGTATTCTGTGCCTTGGAGTTCGGCTTGGGATCTAAGGTTTGTCAATCGTTACTATTAAGACCAAGTGGTTTGGTAAAAATGGGAGCCTCTTTGGAGCGACTATAGTTTTCTGAAGACGTTGAAGAATGGGAAGTTTCGTTTGGATCAGGATCAATCTGTCTAGGTGAAGAGTTAAGTGAACTAAAGTTACCGGAAATACAGAAGAAAGCCGGCTAACACCTTAAAGAGAGCCAAACTCAGAAGCAAATTTTGGATGAGTAGAATTCGCGAAAGGCCTTTTCCTTTGCTGATGAGGAGGAAACTTTGAGCTCTATTTGGGTTTCGTCTATGTCAAAGAAGGCTAATGCCATCTAAAATATTGATATGAGGGCTCGTACTCAGAGAAAATAATGTCTTCTTCTGTTAACGGGGCAGTTTAACCAAGGTGAACGGATTTTTGTTCTTGGATGAAAGTTTTTATCTTCTTGGGCCTTAACGTTTTTGGTAGAAACGACGATTAGAACTACAAATAGAAAATCGATGCAGGAAAAACTTAACTCTAACTGAAGACGCTGCGTTTTCTACAAAAAACGATATCAAAAAGTATAAGAAAAACGGCAAGGGCAATTAGTTATACAGAATCAAGAAAACTGAAGGTCTCTCAAGTATCATTCATTGTGGCTTAAAGTCTCTGGGGAAAGCCCCGAAAGTCCCGTGCTAAAGTCGGTTAGCCGAGCTTGGTGCTCGGCAAATTCACGTCCAGCGAAATACGACCGAGGAATAAAAACTGACTGTCGCAATTGGCTGGAAAGGATTGAGGCACATGAACATAATCAATGGAACAATGACAGCATGCTACAGACGGACACGAAAGATGCGTTCACGCAAACTGAAACCGATTGTGTGTACTTTAGCACATTCAAACGACAGTACAAAAATTTCAGGTGTACAAAAAAGGTGAAGAGATAGATCGGAAATGTGTATAGACCTATACGTCAGTCACAAGAATAAAGGAAATAAAATACGACATCAAGAGACCATCTACTCTTGAAAACATTTTTCAAATTAAATTTGAAGTTCGGTTCTGTCTGCCACTGGCCTCACTACCCACAGGGTCGAGGAAGGGCACAAATGTCTTATATTGCTGAAAAAAGTGTCTACATTTTTCCTTCGAAATGGCGCCGAAAATAGATAAAACTAACTCCTATTGGGATACGAATTTATTGACATTTTCCGGTACATCAAGGTCTACTTCTTTCATAATGATGGTGGGTTCCGAACAAAAAACATGTGTTTTAGATTTGTTCAAATTTAGACGTTGGATCGCCTGAGATTTTAAACCGGAAAAAGTAAAACAGGAGACTAGGCATACCGTAGTTTAGTTTCGATTTACTAAATTAATAACTGCTAATAATTTAAACATGGTTTCTAGGAACAATAAAATGCTAATGAATATATATCTACTGCCGGTAATTACTGGTTTATGGGAATTCATCATTTTTGGAGAACGTAAGAATGGGTTCGTATATGGTGAACATTTTGTTAAAGCACTGGAATTGATAGATCTAATAGCAGATTCGTCCCCCATGCAACCTACGATTAATAACGAAATATTCTTTACGGAAGCAAAACCGAAAACTATCAATCTTACGGGTGACAAAATAAAACTACTTGCGTAAAAATCGTACTTCACAACAAGGATATGTTGAGTGAAATCTATGCCGATATGATACTCCTGCCAGCTGATAAATAGGCGATAGCAGCGGTCAATTCAGATGTTTTATCGTA